CCCCCTTGGGGAGGGAGCACCATCGGTGTGATTTCCCTCCCAAAGCCCCAAAAGGTCATTATTGCCTCTTTCGCCCTTTGACTGTGTCACAGGGTGTCCCCTGCACCCACCCCGGTGTCACCCCCTGCTGATGGTGCCTTCTTGCTTCCCAGGGAGAAAATGTGCTTTTCCTGGTGACCAATTTCATCAGCACAGCCCAGCAAGCCCAGGGCACCTGCCCCGAGGTGAGTGAGTGGAGGTGCTCCAGCTCATCCCCATGGGGGTGGTGGATGGAGCCATCAGTCCTGCTGCTCTGTGGAACCAAGACCAGATAGAAGGGGGAAATGGGTTTATATTCCAAACAAACCTGAGTCCACTCATTCTCACTGCTTCATAGCTATCTCATCTGGATTTGCTCTGTCATACCTGCATGAGCCAAGGTGTAGATCCACGTGGTCTGGCCAGAAATGCTTGTAGTGACCAGGGCAAGGGACACTTGGGACCATACCAGCTCTGGGCTGCTTGGGTGGTGGCACTGCATGATCCTTACAGGCCTTCTGCTGCACTCAGGCAAGGGGATGCTTTGACACAGCCTCCATGGATATCTGTCATGTTTCCTTGATAACTGCGGGACTAATGTCCATCTTAGTGTCCTATTTTTAGGTGTAACAGAGCACAAGGTCTAGGTAGTTTCCCAGCCAACCACCACTTAATGGTATATGTCCTCTGAGAGAAATCTTCCCTTTCAGGCTGGAGTCAGGCCAGCTCCTCCACTGAGCTCTCCCAGGCTGGACTTGGCATGGCAGATGGGAGCAAATGTCCTTTAAGCTGAGCCACTGCTGGCACCTTGTGCCTGAGCCAAGCACTGATTGTCCTAATGGTCCCTTTGGCTCTTGCTGTGGCCAAATGCTGTGGGAGAGGGGGAGCAACCCCAGTTTTGGGTCAGGGAAAATGGTACTAATGATCCATCTTTAAAATGTTGAGAGCTCCTGAAGTGCTGACAGCTGCAGGAACATCCCAGGGGGGAAACAAATGCTGTAGAGGATTTGGGGGCTCTTACAAGCAGCCACAGGCATCTCTGGATGCTGGTTTTGCAGTGTGCAAGCCACAGACAGAGTGCAGAGGATTTTATCCCATTCCAGTGCTGGGGCGTGTGGGTGCCTATCCCAGCCTGTGCCCCAGGCTGTGCTCCAAGAGTTCCTCAGTTCCTGGCTTTGGGACTGTAGGTGACATTTGTGTTTGGAAAGCTTTGAGGATTTAGCAGTCACAGCTTTTGGCTTTGTTGGGAGTTAAAACTCTCTGAATATTCTTAATGACCAAAGCATTTGGTGCTGGCAGTCCTGGGAAAAGTGTGTCTGGGGCCAGAGGCAGCACTGAACACAGGTTAGGCTGTTGCAGTGGCTGTCAGTCCTTTCATCCTTTTATCCCTCTATTGTCCAATGTTTGTTCCTTTTCAGACCACCCAGTTCCTTCCGTTCCATGCCTTCTCTTCCTCCTCTAAACATCCCATCCCCTAAACATCCTGTGCAATCCCCAAATGATTCCATACCCAGCCCAAAGTGCTGCTCCTCTCAGCTCATGTTGGTGGGTTTCACACCTGAGCAAGGGGCTGGGGTTGTCCCAGGGCAGCCCTGGGAGGGCCTGGACAGACCTCCCTTTCTTCTGACTCCTTAACTGGGGATTCCCTGCCTGTCTTTGGGCCTCTGTGCCCTCTGGGGCTTGGGGAGGTGGGTTCTGATGGGCTGGTGACTCCTGCCATGGCCTGGGGTATCTGGGGAAGGTGTTAATGGTGTTCCCCCACCTGCTGTCATCTCTCTGTGTTTGAAGAAGAGATTTTCACTGCTCCTGGCAATCAGGTGGGTCCAGAGTGAGAATGAAGCTTTCCTTGTCTCTTGTAAAAGTTGTGTATGCAGGATTTAGTGTATCTTCAGCTCTTCTCTGAGGCATTCATAGTGGTGCTTTAAAAGGTTCTGATAAGCTCAGCCATTAAGGCCCTCCTGAGGCCCACTGTGCTGGATCCCAGTCCTAGACTGGGAACCAGTATGAACTGGCTCCTGAGGCTTCCTCTGCCGAGGAGGAGGTGAGTGCTCTGGAGAGAGAGCGTGGAGACAGGCAGGAAGGATTTCCCCTTGGATCTGCCTTTCTCCTTGCTGACTGGAGACTGCCCAGGATCTGGATGTGGTGGATGTTCTTCTGTAAGCATTTGGGATGTGCTTGGAGAAACAGGAGCAGCACAGCCATGGGGATGAGTGACAGTGTGGCCTCAGGTAGCTGCACAGGGCAGTGACAGCACTCTCTCTGTCCCTCCCAGAGCCCTTCTGTCCTCGATGCGATGTGCACGGAAGATGCAGATTGTCCCATGGGAAACCCTGTGATTCATGGCAATGGTACTGGGTGTTTGGCTAAAGAAACATGGAATCCCTGAGTGATTTGGGTTGGAAGGGACTTCAAAGTTCATCTCATTGCACCCTTACTGTGGGACAACTTCCATTAGCCCAGGTCACTCCAAGCCTCATCCAGCCTGGTCTGGAACACTTCCAGGGATGGGGCAGCCACAGCTGCTCTGAACAACCTGTGCCGGTGCCTCACCACCCTCACAGGAAACAATTCCTTCCCAATATCCCATCTAGCCCTTCTCTCTGGCACTGAGATGCCATTCCCCCTTGTCCTGTCCCTCCAGGCCCTTGTCTAAAGTCCTTCTCCAGCTCTCTTGGAACCCCTTTAGGCACTGAAAGGGGCTTTAAGATCTCCTTGAAGCCTTCTCTTCTCCAGGCTGAACAATACTAATCATCCCCATCCAAATTATTTAATTCCTCATGTTTGGTAGCCAAGCAGATCCACAGAAGTGCCTGATTCCCAGAGTTCAGGGCAGTGAGTATGCATGGAAAGGCTCTCCAGCCATTTATTCTTGGCAGAACCTTCCCAGAACCTGTCAGGGCTGGACGAGCAAGTGCTGAGGGCACAAGGTGCTGTCACAGCAAACACAGGGATGCTTTGTTTCTGCTGATGGCAGCTGGAATTGAAACTAGTTTGCCATGTGTTTGGCACATTTCCTTTGGTAATAGACTCTGGCTTTGATTTTATGCTGATTAATATTAGTAACCCATGTGAGTTCAGCTGGAAAAGGGTGTTCCAGATCTAGTAGGTCAGTTGCTAAAGCTTTTTATGCAGGAGACTACAGCTCATTTTGTTCCTGCTCAGAAGCAATAGTAAATCATAGAGTCTTGGAATAGTTTGGGTTGGAAGGGATCATAAAGACCATCTCATCCCATACCCTGCCATGGGCAGGGACACCTTCCACCAGACCAGGTTGCTCCAAGCCTTGTCCAACCTGGCCTGGAACACTCTCAGGGATGGAGCAGCCACAGCTGCTCTGGGCAACCCGTGTCAGTGCCTCAGCACCCTCACAGGGAACAATTCCTTCCCAATATCCCAACTAGCCCTGCTCTCTGGCAGTGGGAAGCCATTCCCTGTGTCCTGTCCCTTCAGGCCCTTGTCCCATGTCCCTCTCTGTCTGTCTTTAGGGCTCTCTTCTGGAGCAGAGAAGGCTCCAGGCTGAACAACTCCAGCTCTCTCAGCCTGACTTACATCATCTCATTTCTAGGGATTAAAACTGGGAGATGTGTGATGTTCAATGCCACCTGTTCCACCTGTGAGATCTATGGCTGGTGTCCTGTGGAGAACAACACCCTGCCCAGGTAAGCCACAGCTGAGAGGACAACAGGTGCTGGGAGCTTTGGTTCCTTCCCTCTGGGTAACCAGAAGCTTGACCACACTCAGCAAGGCTCAGCCAGGCTCGGGGAGATCTTTAACATTGATCTCCCAGTCCTTGAGTCCAGAGAACTTCACAGAAGAGTATTTCTTGCACCTATGCATTGTAGCTAAATCCCTGGGAGTGTGGAAGAGACTGTGAAGCATGGGGAATGGGGCTGTGCCTTGACCACTGTGCAAGACTTGACTTCGTTGGTGGTTGTTTTCCAGGAAACCTCTTCTGGCTGAGGCAGAGAATTTCACTCTTTTTATAAAAAACACTGTCCACTTCACCAAATTTAACTTCTCCAGGTAAGTGTGGCACTTCCCAGCTGGCCTGAGCATGCAACCTGGTCCTGCCATGGTGCTGAGCCACAAGAAGCCACATGCCAACCAGGACAGGTGGTGCTGGGGCAGTTAGAGGCAGGATGGGGTGTTCAGGTGAACACCGGTCTCTTCAGCAGCTGTAAGAGCAATGGAATGGAGATCCCTGGGAGAGGGACTGGTTTCTGCCTGTGTGGACCACCACAGACAGCTAGACAAGACCAACCATTCCCAAGCTCTCATTTGGGAATGAGTCTATGGATTTTTGCCTTTTATCCTTGCAAAGTGGTTTCACAGAAGTCAGGTAAAGGGCTGCACTGGCCTTGCACCCCAGGAACACTGACTGTGCTGCCTTACCCTGGCAGGAGATGTGGCATGAGGCAGCTGAACTGTCCCTGCTGTCACCCTTGGGACACTGACTTGAGCTGGGTGGGAGCTACGTACTGGGGAAGAAAGGAGAAGCACAGGGAGGTGGAGGGGGAGGCCATAGCAGGTGCTGTAGAGCATGATAACTCCATGTGTGATTGCTCTGGGCCACCTTTCCCTCCACCCTCTCCACACCTGAGGCTTTAGGAGAGGCAATGACTATTCCCCCTGCAGCAGAAGCACTCTAAGCCCACTCCAGCATGAGGGGCCCTTTTTCAGTCCCACAGGTGACCTCCCAGGCCTCTGTCCCCCTCTCTCTCCCATCTCAGGTGCAACACCTTACAAACCAGTGATCCCAACTATTTCAAGAGCTGCAGATATGATCCAATCTTCAGCCCTTTCTGCCCTGTGTTCCGTGTCCGTGACATGGTGGAGGCAGCTGGAGAGACCTTTGGAGACCTGGCACTGCTGGTACTTGGGTTTTGTAACACATAGAACATCTTCCATCCTTCTGCAAGGATGTGAACAAGGGGCTGTGGACAGCACTGACCCCAAAATGCTAAGGAAATGTGTGTCCTGGGAATGCCTGAGCAGTAAAGTGCTTCTCCTGGAACAAAATGTGTTTTGCAGGGGGGAAGCGTCGGAGTTCACATCGAGTGGGACTGTGACCTGGACCGCCCTGCTGCACAGTGCCAGACACAGTATTCCTTCAGCCTGCAGGACAAGAGGTACAATTTCAGGTGAGGCTTCTGGGACAGTGGCTATTCAGGCCCATGGGATGAGCACACAGCAGTTGTTTGAGATCTCAGCTCTGGTGAATGCTTTGAAAGGGGCAGCAGAGACAGGAAGTTTGCAGGTGTCATCTGCAAATTGACCCTCAGTCAGTTCACAGGTGACACTGTGTTGGGTGTGACTGTTGATGTGCTGGAGGGCAGGAAGGCTCTGCAGAGGGATCTGGACAGTTTGGATCAATGATCCAAAGCCAATTGTACAAGGTTCAAGACCAAGTGCTGCACTTGGATAACAACAACCCCATGGAGTACTCCAGTCTTGGGGCAGAGTGGCTGGAAAGCTACCAGCAGAAAAGGACCTGGGAGTGCTGGTCAGCAGTGCCTGCACATGAGCCCAGGTGGGCAAAAAGGTTCATGGCACCTGCTTGTCCCAGCCCCAGTGTGGGCACAGCCCCAGGGCAGTGCCTGTCCCTGTGCTGGCACTGCTGAGCCACCTCCAGTCCTGTGGCAGTTCTGGACCCCCACAAGGACATTTGAGGGGCTGGAGAGTGTCCAGGGAAGTGAATGGAGCTGGGGAAGGGGCTGGAGCACAAGGAGCAGCTGAGGGAGCTGTGGGGGCTCAGCCTGGAGAAAAGGAGGCTTAGGGGAACCTTCTGCTCTCTCCAACTCCCTGCCAAGAGGTGCAGCAGGTGCAGCTGATGCCCTGCTGCTGATGCCACCCAGTGAGCCATGGCAGCATGTGTCCCACTCAGGTCGGAGCCTGGAGGACACCAGGTGTGCACAGGCACATGGTACCCCCAGCAAACATTCAGCACTGGCAACCTGCTACCCTCACTGCCTGCATGGAGCTGCTCTGGCTTTCTGAGCCGTGTCCATTGTGTCATAGTGTCATAAGGGGTTGGGATTTTGCTTAGAGATCATCTAGTCCCAGGCCCCTGCTCTAGGCAGAGACACCTCCTACCAGAACAGGTCGCTCAAGGCTTTAGCCAACCTGGCTTTGAGCACTGCCAGGCTTGGGGCAGCCACAGCCTCCCTGGGCAACCTGTGCCAGTGTCTCACCACCCTCACAGGGAAAACTTCTGCCTAAAATCTAATCTCAATTTCCCTCTTACAATTTACCCTTTCTTCCTTGTCTTGTCCCTGCAGCTCCTAACAAATGTCTCCCACAGAACTGCCTCCTACTTCTGGAGCTCCCAGCATCAGCTCTCCCGGGACCTGCTGAAGCTCTATGGGATTCGCTTCCACATCTCCGTGCAGGGACAGGTACCGTGTCCTGCCCTGCCCCAGCAGCCTCTGCCCCAGGGCTGACTCCTGCTCTGCTCCACACTGCTCTCCTGCAGCCACCCCGTGCCTTCCTGCTGCCAGCGCTTCTCCCCACCCTGGTGAGCTCTTCAGCTCTTTGCAAAGTTTTCAAAGCAGAGCAGGAAAAGTCTCTTGTGTTTGAAGCAAAACATCTTGGTAATACCCTGGGCAGGGAGAGTTCCCTCTCTGAGGGGTTGACTGAGAGGGTGTGAAGTGTCCTGTAGGCAAGGTGAGCTGCTCTAGGCCTGTGAGCATCTCTGAGGGTCTTGTGGTGGGAGTAGCCTGGCAAAGACCAACCTGAATTCTTCTAAACCTGGACAGTTAATCCCTTCTGGATTAACTGGACCCTCATGGAGAAAGGCATGGGCACAATCATAGCTGGACATGCCCTGACCACGTGCACTGGTACCCAGAAACCAACTGTGTGCTGGGCTCATCCCCACAGTGTGGGCAGCAGGTGAGGGATTCTGCCCCACTCAGGTGAGACCTCACCTGCAGTGCTGCCTCCTGGTCACCTGTCACCTCAGTCCCTTCTTTGACAGCTAAAGGAGGTTTGAGTCAGCACAATAGCAGTTCCTACAGCTGGACACAGAGAGATGTCCCTAGATCCCTCCTCCAGCACCCCCTGGCTTTAAGCACGCTGCCCCACCAGGCTTGTCCCTGCACCCTTCTCACTGCTCTCCGTCCTCTCTTCTCCCTCCACTCTTTCTCCCCAGGCTGGGAAGTTCAGCATCATTCCTACTGCTGTAAGCTTTGGCACCAGCATCGCCTTCTTTGGTGCTGTGAGTACTCTGGATACTCTTTTCCTCTGATCCATGGGTTGGGATTTGCCAGTCATCCATTGCTTCCATGCCTGCCTGGATAGAAGCTTTCCTGGGTGCTGGGCAGCCTGGAGGGGAGATGCTCTGAGAGAGTGTCAGCTCCTGTTTCCCTGTGTCCATTAGCAATAGTGACACCACTGACTCAGAGGTCCTGAGCACTGTCAGGGACATGTCTCATGGAGTTTGGTGTTTGTGTGAGCCCTGGGAAGGAACATCACTGGGGCACTGCTGGCAGGAGAGACCAGCTCCTCTCTGTGCTTTTCCCCTGGCTCTAAACAGCCCCAATGTCCAGTCACTAAGGGCAACCCTTTGTAGAGTCCTGCGGCTCTTCCCTCCCAGCAGGGTAACAGAGACCCTGGGTTCCTTACCTGCTCCCTCTTTCCTCCCAGCCATGCTCATCCCAGTGGCTGTGGGGGTGCTGGACCAGCCCTCCCTGTGTCCATCTATTGCAGCCCAGCTGATCCTGCCTGGCCTGTGCAAGCTCATGGGAGCAGTTTGGGTCAGACAGGAGCTGCTGGGTGACCTGGCTGGAGGCAGGGCCAGTTATCTGCCCCCAGCACTGGCCCTCAGCCACATGTGGGTGGGAGCCAGGACAGAGGGTTGAGCACTCCTGTGGAAAGTTTCCCTGCTGAAAGTCCTCAACACTTGTCTGTCTCAGGCCACAATTGTCTGTGACCTGATTCTGCTCTACTTGGATGCAAAGGCTGACCTTTATTGGAAGGAGAAGTTCGAGGAGGTAAGGATGGGGCTATGTGGGAGAGAGGAGGTTGGAGTAAAGGTTTTGGAGTGAAGCATTTTGGATTTAATGATTTTCTGCCCCTTGGTTAAAACTCAGTTCGCAAGATCTGGGAAAAACCTGGTGGAGCAGCAATCAGTCTCCAGCTCCTGGACTTGGTGGCTGGTCTGAACTGGGAGAGTGATCCAGCTGGTGCTAGGACTCAGAAAAAGCTGCACCACAGCCTCAGCTACTGTTAGGCACCAAGGAGTCCCCATGGGGATCTTACCTGGAAACCTAACCCAGCTCCATGCTTATTCACCCTCTTCCAAAAGGAATCTGGCTCTGTAGTGCATGCCCTGTGCAGTGGTTCAGTGACAGTTTTTCATGCCATGCATGATTCGTGCTGTGGGAATTTGCTGTCCTGGTGAATCAGGGAGTCACAGGGAGACACCCACACAGCAGTAGAGCTGCCTTGGGTCACCCCCAGCTTTATCTGGCCAAGTCTTTGGAACATCTGAGAACTAAGATCCCAGTGAACTGGCCCAGGGCTGCACCATCCTCATGGGGGTGGGAAAATCTTCCTAGTGCCTGATCTCAAATCCAGAGTGGAATGGGAGCCTTGGACAATGAATCTGGTCACATGGGGCCAAGCAGAGCAGTGCAGGACCACCTGCTTGGGGTGGCCCCTGCCTGTTGTCCTGATGTCCCTGTTCATTTTGCAGGCAAAACCTCCCAAATGTAAGCCTGAGGCTGCAGCTTAGGGACTTGGGAATACTCCACCACAAGCATCCTTCCCTCTGGAGCCACCTCCAGGCAGACATGATGATGCCATGGCTGTGACCAGGCAGAGATGAGCCAGTCCTGGCCCAGGTGTGCACTGCAGGGAATTAGGGTCTGTCTTTCCTGGAGGAACATTGAGAGCAGCAGCAGCAGTTCTTGGCTCCTGGAGCACAAAGCTAGCCCAGGTGCAGCTCCCAGCACTGACAGCTGGTGACAGAGCAGAGCTGTGCTGGGGAGGAGCCCAGGAACCAGAGCTGTGCTGGGGAGCAGCTGGACCTGCTTGGCACAAGAGGCTTAAAGCACTTTGCGCTTCTCCATGTTCTGATGGCTGTGGGCTTTGATTTCCTGTGAAAAACAGGGATGCAACTAAATAAAGCTGGTCCAAAAGCTCTGCTCCAAGTGGCTCTGCTCTGTCTCTAGCCCTGGGGGAGGCTGTTAAGTTTTAGTGTGCTGCTCTCACACCGTGCAGCACTCTGTGTGCTTCCAGCTGGGATGGCTTCACACAAACCACCCTTGGCAGCTCCCTGGGGATCTCAGGAAGGGTTTAAGAGCTGAGCTTAAGGATCTCAACACTGGGCAGGTACTTGCTATGGGGTGCAGTGGCTCCCTGCAGCCCTGGTTCCAGCCTCCTGATGCTCAGTGAGGATAAGCACAGCCCTGGGGTGAGCAGGAGTGTTTCGGAGGTGCTGACCCCTCGCTCCCACCTGCCCTGGGCTGTGTTGGCCTGGTGCCGGGCAGGGACAGGTTGGGTCATAGTATGTGAAGAGGTTGGAATGGAGCTTAGAGATCATCCAGCCCCAACCCTGGGCAGGGACCCCTCCCACCAGAACAGGTTGCTCAAGGCTTGTTCCAACCTGGCTCTTGAACACTGCCAGGCTTGGGGCAGCCACAGCCTCCCTGGGCAATCTGTGCCAGTGTCTCACCACTCTCACAGGGAAAACTTCTGCCTAAGATCTCATCTCAATTTCTTTCATTCAACTTATCCCCATTCCTCCTTGTCCTGTCACTCCTGTCCTAACCAAGAGTCCCTCTGCAGCTTCCCTGTAGACCCTCAATATGTCCATGCCCAGAAGCTGCTCTTGGAACCCCACAAGGCTCAAAAACCATGTGTGTTGGTCTGAACACTGTTTAATACTCCCTGCCAGGGCTGAGTGTGTGGGATGGAGGGATCCCATAGCATCATCTCATCTCTCCTGCCTGCCCTGCTGTGTCCTCTGGCCCCAGCTGGGCCTTCCCACCCTCCTGGAGCTGCCGCAGGTGGAACTGTGCTGCCAGCTGCTTCGTCATGGTCTTCAGGGCCAGGAAGGCAGCCACGATCTCAGCGAGCAGAAATGTCAGGAACAGGCAGTGCATGATTATCTCCAGTGGAAGGTGGATGACCTCTTTGTCCATGAGCAGGAAGAGCAGGAGGGGCAGCTGGATCAAGAAGGAGAGGAGCAGGAACCCAGCCAGCTCAGGCACCTGCAGGGGTGGGGCACAGAAGCAGTGGTGGAGTGGGACAACCCTCTGTGCTGCAGGAGTTCCCTGCATTGGGAACCAAGGACATCCCTGCCATGCAGAGCTGTGGTTGGATGCTGTCAAACCCAGTGCTGGAGGGCCTCAGCCACAGGGCAGGGAGGGATACAGCAGGAGTGTGAGGGTGTCCCCTTTGTCCCCAGGCTCAGCTTGCACCACCTCCTGGGACAGCTCCAGGCAGGACTTCAGGAAGAACAGGCAGTGACATCCACTCAGGTCTCAAGTGAGGGGACATCCAGCTCCCCTAGCTGGGCCAAGCCTCACTGAGCATGGAGGGGTTGTGACCAGGGCAGGCAGCACTTACCTTCTCCTGGAGGTTCCCCATGTAGCCCAGGTAGAGACGGGAGACCTCAGCCAGCGAGAGGATGAGGAAGGCTGTGACCAGCAGGAACTGGTAGTGCCAAGGCAGCAGGTGGTACTGTAACGGGGGCACAGCCTTGTCCCAGTCAGCCCCAGTTCCTGTGTCCCAGTCCAGCTATCTATACCCAATTTTCCATCCTCTGTGCAGTATCCCCTGTGCCCTCCTCCTCATCCCCTGCACCCCATGTAGGCAGCTCCCTGTGCCCACACCCAGCTCCCTATGCTCTGCCAGCTCCCATCATGCTGGTACCCATCCCTGCCCATTCTGCCCTCCTGTTTTACCCTTCCCTGCCTGGAAAGTCCATGATTTCAATTTCTATCAGCTGGAGACAAGACACCTTGTCTCATGGGGGTCAGGGCATTTTGGGGACCCATTCTGAAGTTTACACACATACCCAGCCCCAGAGAGCCCAGGCAGAAGCTCCCCCTCCCCACATGTCCCATGTACCTTCAGCTGCAGCATCATCCCCTCAGTCAGGCACCAGACCGGGAAGTAGTAGACATTGAAGTAGAGCATCACCTGGAGGGGCAGGCTGGACAGCACCTCGTGGGCTGGGCAGGATGGGCAGGGGTGTGCAGGCTGCTCAGGACCCTCAAATCACCCCCTGCTCCCCTCCTCAGTGGATGGGTGCAGAGTCCCTTTGGGTGCTCTCAGCTCAAAAGGAAGAGGAACTGAAGAACAGCTCCCCCTTCCCAAACCCCTGCTGCCCATACCTGGCTGGTAGATCTGGGCAGCGACACTGTCCTGTGTCTTGTTGTTGATGAAAAGGGTCCCACTGAAGGTCACCAAGCCCCGGCGCAGGCTGGGGGGCAGAGGGGTGTGCACAGCCATAGCTGCCAGCAGAGCCCTGCTCACCCCAGCCCAGCTCAGCTGGGATTAGCCAGGAAGGAATCAGCAGGATGACAGGTCAGGTGGGGCCACCCAGCCATTGGCTTCCCGGGGACAGAGCTGCTCAGCTGGGAGGAGGATGTGACGAAGGAGAATCCCCACCTTGGAACACCGAGCTCACAAGGTGGAGTTGCAAAGGAGTCACAAGTCACAGAGCATCTCCCCGAGAGCAGCAGGTTGTACCTGTCACTGTGATGGGGACACAGTGGTGTCCCTAACCTCTGCACCCTGTCCCAGAGAGGTTGTATCAATGAAATTACTCCTCAAAGACCCCCTGACAGAAAAGGATGCCCTGTGAGGGGATGGTGCTCTTCACCTGAAATGCTTCTTCAATGCCTCCAGGCTCATGGAGCATTCACTATGAGTTCTTTTGCTAATGGGCCACCTGCCCTGTGGGTCTCCACACTGTTGGGTGTTCCCAAGCCCCATCCAGGCTCAGGGGTGCTGGGGAGGGCAGTGGGGTGTGTGAGGGGGTGATTGAGCCAGAGGAGAATGACAGGGAAAGGGGATGAGGCTTCAGGAACTTCAAGTTTAGAATCAGAGAATTATTAACATTGGAAAAGCCCTCTAAGATCAGTAAGTTGAACCACTAACCCAGCACTACCCCACTAAACCATGTTCTCAAGTGCCATATCTACACATTTTTTGAACACTTCCAGGGACAATGACTCCACCACTGCCCTGGGCAGCTGTGCCAGGGCTGGACAACCCTTTACATGAAGAAATTTTAGCTAATTCCACCTGAGAAAAGCCTTATAGAGAAACCAGGAGACCAACCAGAGACTAATAGACACTGGTGATGTTTCCACCCAGCCAAGATCTGAAAGCTTGGAAATAAATAAGGATGAGCTGGAACAGATGGGAAGCTTCCAGGGAAGTGGTATTTGAACCACGTGGCTGACCTGCAGATGTGGCTCAAGACCTTAGAAAGAACCAAAAGAGACCCATATCCCAAGAATAGTATTGCTTTAATTCATAGGGGGTGAGTCAAATTAAAAATATAAATCCTCTTATTTTGGGCTCAGGATAAAACAGTGACTGCTGGGGAAGGAGCCATCCCCAGGACACAGCACTGGAGGCTCTCCAAGGGGGATCCTCACTCTGCTGGGCTGATGGACATGGGGCTGTGGCTGGCCAGGTCTGCTGCCAAGCTGGAGACACAGCTCTTCTTCAGCAAGGGGCAGGAACCAGGACAGCAGAGTGCAGACAGCTTGGTGAGCAGAGATAAGAAATGCAGCCTTGTCACCAGGGCACAGGACAGACAAGTAACAGAAACTGGACAGACAAGTGACACAAACCAACCAGCCAGAAACACTCCTCTGGCTGCTTTTCCTCAAGTAACAGCAGCAGCAGCACTGATCCTGTGGTATCATTAAGGAAAGACATCCCAAGGCTGGTGGGAAGGGTGGCCACCAAGGGTGGAAGTATGGCCACCACCAAGCTTTGTGCCGCAGTCCTGCTGTGACAGCTCTCCAAGGATCTCCACTCTGCACTCCAGGGACAGACAAAGAGCTGCTAGTGCCCAAGCTCAAAGTGAGCCCTGGGAGATGGGCAGCAGCACTCCAGCCCCTTGGATGCTCCAGGATGGAGATGCTGCAGGTGCTGGGATGGGCACTGATGAGCTCCAGAGCCCTCGGCATGGGCAGGGACCACCTGTGCAGGGGGGCTGGACAGGACCAGCCTGGAGATGAAGGAATACACAACACAAGCACAGACTGCACCCAGTGTTACCCCCATCTCCTGACCCCTCTAAATGTCCCCTGAGATGGATGGGCACAGGAAGAGGTGTGTGGCAAGTGCTTCAGCCATGCAGGGAGGGAGAGCAAATGTCAGGCTCTGTGGGGATGAGCATTGGAGCTCTGCTTGGAGCAAAGAGAATTTAGGAAGGGGCATCATGCTTGAAAGCACAGGAGCAACCAAAGGCACTCGTGCTGCTTATGAGGGTGAGGGATGTGCATGGGGCAAACCCTCCTGGGGACCCCCAGCCTTTTGGCAGCATCCAGAGCTGCACTGCACCCATGCCCACTGCCAGTGCCAAACCCCACGCTCCAAGGGCTGCTTTTCCAGTGTCCCATGAGAATTCCAGCATGAGAGCCCCAGCCTGGCAGGCAGCAGGGCAGCTGAGCCATGGGAAGGTCAGTGTACGGTGCCAGGCACAGGTTCATCCAGGTCTCAAAGGGAGATGGCTGAGCCGTGGGGATCCCCTGGGCCGTGGAGCTGCTGTCCTGTCCCCCATGGGGAGTGCAGCATCAGGAGGGCACAGCCACCAGTGGCATTAAGAGCCTTTTCCAGTTAGCCAGGACATGTCTCCAGTTCTAAAAGACAGAAAAACCAGCAGTGCTGTGAGATGTTTCCCAGCAAATGCTCTTTGTGTGCCTTAGCACTAGTCCAGCCAGCAGTGCCCATCCCACCACCCTGCTGCACTGTGCAGTGCCCCTTCCTCTGCTCTCACTCCTGTGTCACTAAACTGTCCAAAAAGTCACATGCAGCTCCTCAATTCCACGTAAAACCAAGCTCAAACTGTTGGGCTTTTTACTTAAACCCAGTCCTTCTTGCATTCAGCTGAAAATTCCTGGAAAGCCACCAAACCCCCAGCTAGGCAGGATCCCTGCCGAGTGCCCATTCCCAGTGGATCTGTGCCTGATGTGGCTTCTGGCACCCCCAGTGCCACCACCCAGCACAGCAGCATTGCCCTTCACATGCAGGGCTGCAAAACAAACATCCCACCATAACCAGCATCCCTACATGGGCATTAGGGATGTGGCTGGGGGGTTTGTTGTCCCTCCTGCCACCCCCTCACACCCAGGACCCCAAATGGAACATACTTGCCGTGACGGACAAACAGCCTAAAGGTGCCAAAGCAGCAGGAGACAGAGAGAGAAAAGGCATTCAGGTTGAGGTGGTTTGGCTCCCTCCACACCCCCAAGTCCAACCACAGGGCTCCCCCCACCACTGGGATGCCCACAAGATGCCAGCTCTCTCCCAACTGCAAAGTGGGAAACCAGCAACCATTTCCTGATGTACTGAGGATGATAGCACAAGAAATTCTTCCTTGTGAGAGTGGTGAGACACTGGCACAGGTTGTCCATAGAAGCCGTAGCTGCCCCATCCCTGGAAGTGTTCCAGGCCAGGTTGGATGGGGCTTGGAGCAACCTGGACTAGTGGAAGGTGTCCCTGGCCATGGCAGGGGGTGGAACTAGATGAGTTTTGAGGTCCTGTGCTCCTATGAACCCTGCCCTGGCCTTTGGATGCTGGGTGGACATACTCTCCATCCCAGGCGTGCCTGGGTGGGTCTGAGCTGTCTCAGGGCTGCCCAGGGGCTGGGAGTGCTCCTCTCCCTGAGCTTTTGAAAATGTCTGGCCAGGGACTTTCCCTCATTCCCTCCACAGCTCTGATTCCCACTATAAAAGCTCCTCCTCAGCTGTTATCACCTCCCTGGCATTTGCCTTCCAGCACTCACCCCCAGCACACAGGGCTACAACTCCTCCCTCTGCAAGGTCTTAAAAACAAAGTGAAGGGAGAAAAATGGTTTTTGCCTATGAGCAACATTTGCCAGCAAACTGAAGACTGAGACACCACAGACCAGAAGGCATCACCACCTCTGGGTTGTGCATTGAGAGCTGTGCACAGGCTGCACACCCAGCCCCTCTCTGTGGGTCCCCTCCATTCACTGGGTGCCCAGAGGCACCCCAGAATCAGGCAGTGCTGCCTCTGTGATGTGCCAGTGCCCCAGCGCAGTGAGCATCCCCATCCCATCCAGTCTATGCAAGGATTTGGGTCCTGGTGTCAAAACAAACCCCTTGTGTGCAGGATGCCAGACCCAGAGGCAGCACTGGGGGAATGGAGTGAGCAGAGCAGGAAGGGAGATGTGAGAAGGGTATGGAGTGGGGAGCAGCAGGAAAGAACTGTCTCAGGATGGTCAGTCCTGCATTGCACCCCATGGCTGTGCTCAGTCTCTGCCCTGGCACTGCTGGTTCCCTCTGAGTGTCTACTTACTCCACATCACGTTTCCGGATGGTCCTGCCAGCAGCCAGAACCTCAGCCACCTTGGAGACAATGGGGTCATAGTTCATGCTGGCCACAGCCACCACCTCGTCACTCCTAGGGCCAGGCAGAGCAGAGCAGTTAGGGCAGCCCAGGTAGCCACAGTTCCATCACCCAAAGCCCAACATGCTGGAGAGAAGCAGGAAGCAAAGAGAAACACCCACTCCAGAGCCAGGTCTCATCCCAAGGTGTGAATACCACGGGGACTGTGCCAGTGGTGTGGGACAAGGGACAGGAGAGGGCTAGCCCCAGTGGTCCCATTGATGCTCACATGCTGGTGTGGTGAGCATCACTGGAGTGCCCAGGGGATGGAGACAGTTCTGGAACCCTGGGATCTGTGGGAAAACACCACCAAAGTGAGATCTGATGGTGGATAAAAACCTGGACACCAGCAAGAATAGCTGCTGCCATCCCCTGTGCCAAGGGAGCAGACAGGCAGGGGGTCAGGATTTCCCTGTGGGACACATGGTTGGGATGCTCCACATGCCCTTCCTAATTTTCCCACCTCCAAGCCACTCCACGGGCATCAGGACAGCTGGGATGCCTGACCCCAGGGTCCCACAGTCCCAGTGATGAAGCCCCTGTGTATATTGGATGTCCAGTCTGGCTGATAATTCCCACCAGGATCCCCATGCAACTTCAAAGGCTGAGTGGGAAACAAGTGAAGTGGAAGGGAAGAGAATGTAAAAATGCTAGAGAAGCTTTGGCTTAAGGTCACAGGCAAACAAGAAAGGCTCTTCTGCTTTGAGGTTTGCCAAGGTTGACAGAAGAGTAGACCTTCAAAGCCTGACTCATGAGGAGACAACCGAATGGACAAACAATGGGAGATCAGGGAAGGTGTGTGGGTGATATTTTAGACTCTGGTGATGTTGTTGAGTAAACTGAAGAAGGAAGCAGGA